AGTTTGACACATTGAAACCCAGAGAACATATAGGCAGGAAGAACATCAATAGCAGGCTGGGCATGGTGATGCCCACCTTTAATCCCTGCACTCATGAAGCAGAGGCAGGCTGGTCTTTGTCAATTCAAGGACACCCTGGTCCTGAGTTATTTGGTGGATGAGGGAAGGCAGGAAACAAGTGTGTAGCAGAAGTGTGGAGGTCAAAGGATAATTTATAGCAGTCAGTTCTCTCCTCTCACCATTTCAGTCTCAGGGATCAAATTCCAATTGTTTGTCATTCTGGCAAGTGCCTTTATCAACTTAGCCTTCTCACTAGCCCTCTGATTTATACATTCACTGTAAATATTTTAGTATTCACACACACACACACACACACACACACACACACACACACACTCACACATACTCCAGTGTCAGCAGTGCATTCTCCTTGCAAGAATAGTGACCAGGGATTATCCCAGGAAACAAAACAATTGACAGGAAACCGCTTGACTACAATGCAGATATTGAAGCAAAAATCAAGGTAAACAGCATTCAGGGAAATCCCCAGTATATACCCAGCAATGACACTCAGGTCCACCCATCACATGCCAAAGATCAAGCAGTCTCAATGAATCTGTTCAGAGTGAAACATTTTTCTCCAAATATGTTTTTTATATTTTTATACATAGTTAAAAGTAACACAGCACACAGCCTACTTGGTTTCAGAATTGGGCTTAATTTTAAAATTAAACCAAGGAAAAAGACCCCCACACAATTCCCATACATACACAATAAAAATGAATTAGTTTTAAAGATAAATATCTGTAGAATAAACAGAAGTCTGTTGCAATTACGAAGTTACTGATGGGGCCTGATTCTCAGAGATTAGGCTGGAGTGGAAAATGAGAAAGGTCACTGGCACACAGGCAAGTTTGGAAATTGATCATTGAAGAAGACATACCAAGAAGACATTTTTTATTTAATTTGTTCAAATTTTCTATGTATATAGGAAATGCTGTTCAGGTTGGGAGAAAATAATTCTCAGTTTTGGGAAGACGTAGTTTGGAAAAATAGGTTAACAAACTGCTCCAGAGAGGCCACTTGAGCTCTCTTACTGAACAAAGGCACACCAAACCTAGATGCCACAAAATGAGGTTGGGGAAATGGAGTCACATCTCCATGGAGCTAAGAAGCTTGGAACCAGTGAGTGTTTGTGGAGAGTTCTGGAGAGGAGGGGTGCTCACAGGCAATGTTGGACAGGGCAATGGTGTGTCCAAAGGAAGGGTCCAGCTGTGTGTGTGTGAATGTGCAGCAAGGGATGAAGGAAAATCTGTCCTTTGTGACTGATTCTTTACAGAATCTCTGATAAATTTTCAGTTGAGAAGCATGTTGATTTTTAAAGTGTAATTTTTTTCTTTACAGTGTGGGTTGACAGCAATTAAAATGGCTTCATCTAAAGCAAAACAAGAGATGGCCCACTTTTGAATGGAGGACCAGGTTGAGTCAAATAGGTAATGTGTCCTGTTTTTTACAATCTTAGTCCTGTTCTTGAGAGTGACAATTCTTTAAGTAAGGAATACTAAAATGATAGGAGGAAGATTGGCTTCAACTCAGAGGCACATAGCCTGAGCTGGCAAAGGGACTGTTCCAGCCAAGACAAAACAAAACAAAACAAGAGTACAGTGTGTGTCAGGGCTCAGCTTCCCATCTAAAAACAACAGTTCATCATTTGAAATCTGATGTGACTGGTGATTTTCTACTAGTTAGGGAAACCACATTAATGTTGTTTACTTTGAAAAGTTTCAACTTAATTTATCACAGTGAAATTTGTGATCGTTTTAGTATTTTTCAGTGAAGGTTAAATGCTATTACCAGATACTATTCTTTATTTTTTTTCCCTACTTCTTTTCATTTTTTTTGGTGGGGGGGGAGTGGATTCTGTCTGAAATGTCTCAATACTGTGTTGGTCAGATGTGAATCTGTGCACCCACACTCCTGAAACAGCAGTCACGGTTAGGAACAGTTATCCACAATGAGTATAAAGAACTAAGACTCAAGATTTTTGGCTCTGCTGGGGATCTCATCAACAGTAGGCTTCAGACATGGTTCTGTAGAGAAGGTTCACTCAACTGGGTGAAGTCCAACAAGGAAGCAAGAAAAACACAGCTATAGCACCAGAGTTCAACAACTACAAACCCCAGGGACCTAGAGCTTAGACATAGCCAGGAAGGAAAGGAGAAGGAGAGACTGTGCTCCCCTCCCATGAGTTTTGAAACAGGCTGAGACTTCACATTAAACGGCAACATTTGGTGATGGTCTGGCATCTACTAGCAAACAGGTAACAACAACAACAAATTCAAGGCCACCTATAACCTGTCAACCATATGTTG